TGTGTGTATATATATATATATATATATATATATATATATATATATATATATACACACAATGGTATTACTCAGCATTAGAAGAAAACAAAATCATGGCATTTGCAGTAAATGGACAGAGTTGAAGAATATTATGCTAAGTGAGTTAGCCAGTCCCCAAAACTAAAGGCCGAATGTTTTCTTTTATATGATGCTGACTCATAATGGGGATGCAGCGGGAAGGACACTGGAAGAATGGAGGAACTTTAGATAGAGAAAAGGGGAGGGAAGGGAAGGGAGGGGGCATGGGAGTAGGAAAGATGGTGGAATGAAATGGACATCATTACCCTAAGTACATGTATGAAGACGCAAATGGTGTGAATCTACTTTGTGTACGACCACAGAAGAAAAATTTTGCTCTATTTGTATAATATGAATTGAATTGCATATATATGTGATAGAATATATCATATATAACAAATTAGAATAAATAAATAATTTAATTTTTAAAAAAGATTGATAAGCCATTAGCCAAAGTAACCAAAAGAAAGAGAGAGACCCAAATTAGTAAGATTACAGATGGCAAAAGAAGAAATGACCACAGGCATCAAGGATATCCAGAGAATCATTGGGGATTCTTTTGAAAATTTGTATTTCTATAAATTGGAAAACCTAGAAAAAATATATACATTTCTAGTTACACATGACCTGACAAAATTAAATCAAGAGGATACAGAAAACCTAGACAGACCAGTAACTAGCAATGAGCTAGAAGCAGTAATAAAAAGCCTTTCAACAAAGAAAAGCCCAGGACTAGATGGATCTTCCCCATCAAAATTCTACCAGAACTTTAAATATTAATGCCAATGTTCCTCATGAAATAAACATGAGGATGAAGCACTTCCAATTTTTTTTTTTCTATAAAGCAGTATCTCCCTTATACCGAAATCAGATAAGGACACATGGAAGAAAGAAAACTACAGACCAGCATCCCTCGTGAACTTATATGCAAAAATCTTTAAAACATTAACAAATTGTATTTGACAACATATTAAAAAAATTGTACATCATGACCAATTTGGTTTTATTCCAGGGCTGCAAAGATAGTTCAACATATGCAAATCAATAAATGTAATTCACCACATAAATAGGATTAAGGACAAAAATTACACATTCATCTCAATAGATTCAGAGAAAGTCTTCAACAAAATTCAGCACCCAATCATGATAAAAACATTGAAAAAAACTAGGGACAGAAGGAAACTACCTCAGTATCATAAAAGCTATATATGACAAACACAAAGTCAACATCATAGTGAATGGGGGAAAACTGAAAACATTTCCTTTCAAAAATATGGAAAACATCCACTCACCACTCACATTCAATAAAGTACTGAAAATTCTAGCCAGAGCAATTATGCAAGAGACGAAATAAAAGAGATAAAAAATAAGAAAGTAAGAAGACAAATTCTCACTGTTTGCAGATGGTATGACCCTCTACAAAAAGCTCCACCAAAAGACTGCTAAGAGCTAATAAACAAATTAAGCAAAATAGCAGGTTATAAAATCAAGATAGAAAAATCCATCACCTTCCTATATACCAATAATGCATCTGCTGAAAAAGAAATCAGAAAAACAATTTCATTCACAATAGCCTCAAAATATACCTAGGAGTAGATCTAACCAAGGAGATGAACAACAGGCTCTGTAATAAAAATTACAGAACAGTAAACAAAGATATTGAAAAAGACCCAAGAAGATGGCGAGGTCACTTATGTTCATGGATAGGCAGAATTAATATTGTTAAAGTAGCCAAATGACCAAAAGCAATATATACATTCAGTACAATCCCCATCAAAACGCCAATGACGTTCTTCACAGAACTAAAGGTTCAAAGAAAAAAAAAAAAAAAAGTCCTGAAATTCATTTGGAAGAACAAAAGACCCAGAATAGCCAAAGCAATTCTAAGCCAAAAAATCAACACTGGAGGAATTACAACACCTGACTTTAAATATATGGAACTATAGTAACAAAAACTGTGTGAACTCATTTAAGGAAAACAGTACTAAGTAATATTAAACACTAAATAATATTCAATGCCAAAGTACTATAGTAATAGTATACATTAATGCTATCATCATAGTAATGCTACTGCTATAATATTGTAACAGAAATACCAAAGTGGTTGAGGGATGATAATACTAAATAGGAAAATTAGTACTAAGTTTTGTGGTGCTGACATTAACTTTAAAATTTCAATAAGATTTTTCTCCTGTTCCTGGATTCTTTCTGCTTCACAGACAATACTTTTCTGTAGTATGTATGCCTACTTAATTGGAGTGTGGAAAATAAATTCTTGAGTTGATAATATAGCAATAACTGCAATTTTGTAGTCCAACTTTGAGATGATGAAAAGAATACAAACTCTTCTGACACATTCGTATTAATGTTGTATTTTAATCCAGGGGCTAAATTCTTTTGGTTGCAGTTGACAGAAGCATGACTTGAATTGGATTATATGAAAAGGAGATCATTTTGCTCAGGGTGTGACCAGAGAAGAGTTGAGTAGCCAGACCCTTAGAGGAGCAGAAGGGGACAGAGTTGGGTCTCGGGGGGAATGGAAACCGAGGGTCTGGGCCACAGCATTCCCTTTCCACCTCAGGGTCTCTGAAGTCAGGTTGATCCTGTTTCACCTTCAGATGGACTTTTTCCAGGTGGCTGAGAGACATGGACCCAAAGAATCTTAGGGTTTTAACTTCTGATGAATTCTTTCTGTGGAAAGGAGATGAGTATCTCTTTACCTCCCCTGGCTTCTTCCTACTCTTCTTCCCTTCTTCTCTCTCTTCTTCCCTTCCTCTCTCCAAATATCCTGAAGAGGTATCTTATTAGCTTACTTCAGGTCTTGAACCAGTTTGGCCAGAGGTGGGGCACTGGACTGGCCCAGCTTGAGCAGAGCTCATTATCTCCAGAACATTCTGGAGCACGTCATGTGAAAACATGGCAGCTCCCCACGTCTGAAGGGGGCCGCTAACGGCTGCACAGTTTATAAGAAAAGCAACACAGTTCAGACATGCAGCACCGCTGGGGTGACCTGTGTTCTCACTGGAGGACATCTCCACACCTGGTCCCTCTCCCTCAAAACCCAGCTGGACTGTGGAATCAGGATGGGCAGAGACTTGGGGCTGGTGAACTTTGAAAAGCTGATTAGGAGCAAGAATGCTTTTTCCTAATAGTTAATAATAATCTTCTTGTTCTATCAGATGCCAATTCGGGTGGCTTGCATCATGCCGTATCAACTTCATTTGTTTTATTTTATTCAATTATCCATCACATAGTTGTGGAGTGCCCATTTTGTATCTGATACTCCGCTTGATATGAAAGATATACAAATGAGAAGGGCAGGACTGGTCATGAAGAGATTATAGTGTAGTGGGAAAGGCAGCCATGTAAGCCTATAATTTCCACTGGGTGTGGCAAGAACTATGATGGTGTATGACTTCATTGCTTAGTATTAAATGTAGAGTTAGAATGAATGGTCATCTATAAATCTGCACTGTGAACATAGTTCATATACTTCCTCTTCCCCAACATTGAGATGGTTCTTCCTCTTCCCCAACATTGAGATTGTTCTTCCTCTTCTGATGGTTTTCCTGTGCCCAGTACATTATAGTCCACCCAGCATTTTCACTCACATACATTTTTTTCAATCTTTTTTTGGATAGCAGGGATCAAACCCAGGGGCACTTAGCCACTGAGCCACATCCCCATCCCTTTTTTGTATTTTATTTAGAGACAAATTTTCACTGAGTTGCTTAGGGCCTCACTAAGTTGCTGAGGCTGCTTTAAACTCATGATCCTCCTGCCTCAGCCTCCCAAGCTGCTGGGATGACAGGCATGTGCCACCACACCCAGACCCTCACTCACATCCTCTCTAAAACTCAGAAACAAATCAGAACAAGATATATTCTGTGCTTGTATAATTATGTCCAAATGGATCCCACTGTCACATATAACTAAAAAGAACTAATAAAAACAATTTAAAAAATTCAAACATCATCCTTCTGAAATAAGTGAAGCATGCATTACTTTCCTTGTTTTCCACCAAGGAAATGGAGATTCCAGTGCTTTGAAATGACTTGTCATGATCCCAAAGCTAGTACATGACAGCATTGACCCTGAAGCCCATGCCCGGGGCTTCAGGGCTATTCCAAAGCCAACATGCTGCCACTGGTCTCCACGTGACACAGAATACTCTCCAAAAAAAAAATAAGAACCCATTTCTGATCTGTCCCCAGCAATAATATGCTGAAGGACACCGACCTGTTCATCAGCCACCTGTGTCCGTCTGTGTGCATCATTCAACCCTCACCCCTTGGTCATTGTGCCACTGGGCATTGACACCTGCTGGGCCTCCTTCCCCAGTCTGAGGGCCAGACTGCCTATTGCTCATGGATCTTATTAATGAAGTATCGAGGGGGAGGAGGGAGCTCTGACTGGAGAAAAGTCTTAAATGGGCAGATGAGGGATTTGGTTCTGTAGAACAGGGCATCTAAGGTTTAAAGAGCACATGAATCACCTGGGATCTTGTCTAAATGCAGAATCTGATTAAGGTGGTTCTAACAAACTAGCAGCTGATGCTGAAATGCTGATCCTCGGACCAGCATCTTTGAGAAGCAAAGATCTACATTAAGGATGCTAATACATCTTCGCCTAATTCTTGCCAGGGAAAGAGCCAACCAGTGGGCTGGAAACTTTCTTAAAAACCTGAGATGGAAGAATGTGACTTGGAAAAGATATATATTACTTTATTAACATGTTTACAGAAGGAACCCTGAGATTAAAAACAAAGAGGTTTTGTCAACATACATGTCCCATGGCCCAGTTAGACTTCAGTTTCCCCAACTCTGAGTGTGACAAATCTTGCCTCAAGGTTAATAATGCATATAATGTTTGAAACAAAAACATGATTGGGAAAAAGCAAATTATAACCTGTGGTACTTTTTTCTTGTATTTTCTCTTTGTAGGAGATGTCAGTGAAAAGAAGGATCCAGAATGATTACTAACCTATGACTCCCAACAGTATGACAGGTATCTATATGTTCTTTCTTAATTTTTTTTTTTTTTTGTGTGTGTGTCTCCATTTTTGTTTCACCTAAAGTATGGGGTTCCTAAAGACTAACCTGAGAGTCTTAGCAACAATTCGGGTTTTTTTGAGGGGGGTGGGCAGTACTGGGGCTTAAACTCAGGGGCACTCAACCATTGAGCCACATCCCCAGCCCTATTTTGTATTTTATTTAGAGTCAGGGTCTCACTGAGTTGCTTAGTGCCTTGCTTTTGCTGAGGCTGGCTTTGAACTCACAATCCTCCTGCCTCAGCCTCCGAAGCCTATGGAATTACAGGTGTGTGCCACCACACCCAGCTCTTAGCAACAATTCTTTCCAAATAAACAAGTATTATTAATCCCAGTGAATACATCCCTACAAAATGTGCTTCCATTTTCTTCAGGAATTATGAGATACATCATTACCAGAAAGATGATGGAGAGGAAATGATAACTCTCAATGAAATGTTGGTTTTTAAGCCATCCTAAGGTCACCATCACACTGGATGTGCTTACTCTTTACAGCCATTCAGATCCCTAGGATAAATGGCTCTGCATCCTTAGTGATCACAGAGTACATGTGTCTTCTCAAAGTCAGCTGTTCATTCCACCAAGCAGTCAGAATGGAAAATGATTAGAGCACAAGTGAGCCATAAAACTTAGCAACAGCACAAATTCTTTATGCAGCATAGAGCAGAGATAAAGGCCCCAAGGTCAAGAGGAATAATACCAACAATTACCAAGGTTGGGTGTAAGGAAGATAAACAGAACTGGAGAACTTGGGTTCTCTATGAAAGAGAACACCCCCCCCCACTCTGAGCAAACGCTGAAAAGCAGGAATGAAGCCCAGTGTATGTCCAGTGACTTGGGATTTTCAAGAGAAATTGGAAATCTAGATTTTAAGTGAAATATTCTAATTTTTAAATGTTAGCAATTAACTTATAAAAGCATTGAAGACTCATGGTCCAGCCATCCAGCTACTCAGGAGGCCAAGGCAGAGGGATGACAAATTCAAGGCTAGCCAGGGAGACTTTGCTTCAAAATAAAAATTTTAGAAGGGCTTGGAATGTAGCTGAGTGATACAGCACTTGCCTAACACGAGCAAGCCCCTGGTTCAATCCCCAGCTCACACGCGTGTGCGCATACACACACACACACACACACACACACACATACAAAAGGTGGAGTGTTGGGGAGAAAAGGTTACAAACTGGAATCAAACCATTTATGACTTTGTATACCTTCCAGACTAAACCTCAAACCTGGGACTTTCCTTTTTGTTACCAGGGCAGCAGTGCAGATACCTATAAACCTCTGCATGTTAGAGATGCAGCCTGGCTTTTGATAATCTATCCATGTCACTTCCTCACCCTGGGATAAACTAAATGAAAGCACAATTCCTCTTAAAAAGTCTATTCTCTTTAGACCTTAAAAAGGCATACATATATTGATGGTCGAGTATAATATTTATTTTTAAAGTGAACCCTGGCTTGGAGGCTGAGGCAGGAGGATTGCAAGTTCGAAGCCAGCCTCAGCAACTTTCCGAGATCTTCTCTCAAAAAAATAAAAAAGGGCTGGGAATGTGGCTCAGTGGTTAAACACCCCTGGTTTAATCCCCAGTACCAAAATTAAAAAAAAAAAAAAACTAAAGCAACCAAAAGTTTCTACTCAGCCTTCTGAAGATTTGGAAGACTCCCAGTGACCATAAGCATTCTCTCTCCCAGCATTATTGCCCTACCTCTCTACCCACCTGTGCTTGAGTTCCTGATATAGCAAAAAGATAGGGTGCCTGGGAAAATCAGAATGATTCACACCTGTAAGAAATGAGAATTTCAGAATCATGTCTCATCATCTCCTCTTACTTCACATCAGCAAATACCAAAACCTACCCACTCCTGTTTCTGTTCTTCTGCTAACAAGGTCAAGCTCTTTCACCCTTAAATCTCACTCCTGTGTTACAAAGGTGCATGTTCACAGGAAATTGGTATAGATCAACCTTAGCTACAGCTGTCATATTTATGCTGGTATGAGTGGGAATCTCATCAGATAAAGTGACAGCCTAAGTCACTGAAGGCATATGTATGTGTGAGCACACAGATAGCAGAGAGCAGGTAAATAGTAATGCAAAACTGAGGGAAAGTGTCCCCCTCTGGAAAAGGACAATGAGACCATGTGCTACCCAGGGGTGGCTTGGTGCCACACGATAATTTGCCCACCTGAAAGCACTTCCAAAGATACAAATTCCATGAACATATCCTCCTGAGACATTTGACAATGGAAAAATTTGGTATAAAAGGTGATAATAAGATGATTTTTGCTTGCTCAGAGGGGTAAGTTCTAGATAAAGTGCAATAGCGACCATCCAACCTGGGTCCCTCCCAATCAATGACTGACAACTTTTGATTGATTGTAAATGGGCCAGTGAATAAATATTTCTGGCTTCTAAGGCCATATATGGTCTGTCATAACTACTCAGTTCTGCTATTGCAGCAAGAAGAACCATAAACAGTATGTACAGGCTTGGCTATGTTTTAGTAAAACTTAATTTACAAAACAGGCAGCAGGCCAGCTTTGGCTACTGGCTGCCATTTGCTGATGCTTGTTCTAGACTCTGGGATGACCACCCTGGCATTGAGCACAACCCCCTGGCTGAGTCAGCTGGAGGCTGAGCCAGGAACTAGGCTCATTCCTGGACAGTTCTAGATAAAGCTAGCTTTTCAGCTGACTTCCTGAGGCCTTCCTTGCAGGCTGGGCTGGAACCCCTGCTGCCTCCTAGTGGAAGAGGGAGTGTTCAGTCCCAGGATTTGTTTCCTAGTGTAGAAACTAATTTAGTTCTATTTTCAAAAGAAATCTACACCCCTACTGGATACCCAAATGTGCTCAGCATATGTGATGAGCTCAGAGAAAACAGGCATTGCTTTAGACACCTTGTTTGTACATGAAATAAAACGGTGTCCCTTTCCTTCTCTTTCACTGTGGACCAAGACTACTTTTTTTTTTTTATTTTAAGAAACCTAAAGGGAGACCAAAATAAAGTCGTAAGCTGCAAAGTGTTTGCTTTAGGCGCCTAATTGAAGAGCCAAGTATGCACACTTTTTCTTTGAAAAGCATAATAAGCACCTATTACTGTTATGTAGTATGGGAGATCAATTAACCCTTATGAAAAGAAAACTCATTTTTAAGTGAGCAAGAGTTTGAGAACAGAACCTGTTTCTGAAAGCAAGCAGGCCAGCATTTTCAGATAAAGGATGCATATTTTTTGATATATAGGCTCTTTTGGCCACAATGCTTATTAAGTTTATGTATTTTGAATTTACTCAAATGGAAAATTGCTTATTTGGGGGGGAAGGTTTATTTAATATCAGAATTTTCTCCTTTACCCCACCTCTTTTGAAATTGGGGCTGTATGAAATCACTCTTTGAAAAATACATTTCTTAAGGAGGAAAATAAGAAAGTGTCCTTTATATGATATTTTATTCATCTGGAATTAAGCACCACTTCTCAGGTAATCTGAGGGGAATTCTGCTGACATTTATGACATTATAATGAGCTCTATTTTGAATAAAACCATGATTCACAGCATAGGGGAATTTGTTCTAAGATATGAATGCCTAAAAATTTTAATACCAAACTTAGAGGTTTGGGGCCTTATTTGCAGAGGAAATAAACTCCTGACTTCTTTCGCTGCACCCAAAGAGACAGAGACAAGCATGTGGTGTGTTTGCATAGAACCTAGTTTTATAAAATTAGAATAAGGCATGAAGTTAGCAACATATTTAATGTTTTCATTGAAACGGGGCCCCAATAATTTAAAGCCACACTATTATGAGCATTTTAATGTAAACAGTGTATTCCTCATTCAGCTATTTAACTTGCAATTCTTCCTCATAACTGGCTTGTTCATTCAACTTCCCATTGGGTGTTTCTCCTTATTTTTATTGAGGCATTATTGCTGAGTGTCCTGGGAGTGGAATTGGCAGGGAGGTACAGGCACTTTGAGGGGCTGATCAGTGTTTCCCCTGGATGATCTTTGCATTTTTTTTGCTTGCTTCTTTGTTAGGCTATAATTTATAAATAAACTTAAGAATAACAGGTTTATCTACCTTTTCCTTACTATTCCAGAGGTTGAGCATATTTGGTGATTATTGGTCACTTGCATCCTTTCATTTGTAACTTGCTTTTCATTCTTTTTTTAAAATATTTTTTTAGTTGCAGAGGGACACAATATCCTTTATTTATTTATTTGTTTATTTATTTATTATGTGGTGCTGAGGATCGAACCCAGTGCCTCAAGCACTCTACCACTGAGCCACAGCCCTACAGCTCTTGCTCTTCATTCGTAATGTCTATTTACCTATTATGATCTTTGGCTGTTTTTCATTATTTGTGAAAGTTGTTTAGGTATCATGGATATTAACTAGGGAAGCCACTAAATCTCTCTAAACTTTCCACTCTTTATGAATGAAATGAGAAGGTAAGACTAGCTCATCTCTAACTCCTCTTCTACTTTTTAAGATCATGGTGGTTATATTTCAAAATTGAATGTAAGTTACATTTTCATAAAGTAAGGCATATATACATTGATAGCTGAGTATATATTTTTTTAAAAAAGTGAACCCTGGAGCAATATATTTTTGCATTTTGAGACTGTCCTACTGAACAAGTTTTTCAGTCAAACAAAACATTGAAGTTGGGAAGACTCAGTATTGCTGAGTGTCCTAGAATATGTTCACTTTGCAAAGGGAGATCATCAGTGTTGTGTGGGGTTTTCAGCTTCTCCTTAACAGTCATTTCATTCCTTCAAAAAGAGAATGGGAGTCATGCATATGTCCTGTAACCTACATGAAATAGTTTCTCATGGTGTCAGAAGGTAATTGACAACACACGACTGTTCAAAGATAACTAATGTTAGTAGTATACAGGTTGTTCACAGTTCCCACTGTCAATCAATATACCCTTCCACACAAGGATTTTATTTATGCTTAC